ATTTAGAAAATAAATTTAGAAGGTGAGGAACAAAGTGGAGAAGCTACGGAGAAATTAGATGAAGAAGCTATGAAGAAAATAAGTGGAAAAGTGAAGTGGGTAGTAAAGAGGTGGATGGAGGAGAAGATTTGGACAGTACGTGAGGTGTAATGGGAAAATGTAGTGGGTATGTAGGATTAATTAATGACAAAACAATTCAGGGAAGTCATTAACATAAAATAAACCTGCCATTTTAGACATAAAGTAGGGATAATCTTGTCTTTAAACAACTTTTGGGTTGCCAAATATTGTACTTCCTCTGTTCTTAAATAAATGCAACACTTTCCATTTTCAGCAGTTTCAAAATAAATGCAACCTTTCCATTTTAGGAAGTAGATAAAACTTAAAATATCCTTTATATCCTCAATTATTCTACGCATCTACCTTTAATTCTCACAAACACCTTTAAATCTTCCACCCACCTTCTTTTAATTCCGCCGCCTCCTCAATTTTTATACCTCCTGATCTTCATCTTTATTCCATCATCTTGGATTTCATCCTTTATTGTTTCAATCTTTGTTCCCACTATCAACCTCACTAATCTATTGACGAAGTTGTTTTGTAATTTTTGGGAAATGGAAGACTTCAACGATGATGAAGAGTATTTTCTTGCTCTGCATACTCCCTCACGAGGTAATACCTTGAGCTTGATCGACTTGGAAGACTTGGTGGTTCCGGATACCCCACCTCACGTTCAAGCGACAAGAGAGACTACCTATTCAGGACAAAGGAGAATATGGACGAAAACTTTGCCGCTGCTCAATTTTCCGGTGAGGGTGTTTCCACCCAAGTTCGTACCGGAGGAGAAGGTTTACCACAAAACTTTGGGTTACTAGGAAAAGTATGTGATGGAGTTTTATCGGATTTTATGGCCAGAGCAATTTGGATTGAAAGGGTACGGAGGAAGATGTAGTTTCCTGATTGTATTTTGGTTAATAGTTTGTGATTGACTGAAACTTTTCTTTGTAGTATGGTTAATTAATAGTTTTTGTATGTGATTGGAATATTTGATTGTTGAAAAGTTGTTTGTAATTTGGTGATTGAAATAGCTTATGGGGTAATAATTTGAAGGATGTAGGATGTATAACTGTGAAAAAGTTGTTATAAATATTTTTTGTGTGGTAGGAGTGAAGGATGTAATTAATTGTTGTAAACCAAGTTTTCTAGATAAAAACATGAGCAAAAAATTAGAGGCTTCCTTTACAGATAATATCCTTTACAAAAATCAAGCAGCTCATACAAAATTCAGGAACTATCCTCTACAAAAAGAGGTTGTTTGCCTTTACAAAATTAGGAATTATCCTTTACAAAAGAGGCTGCCTTTATAAAACTAGGAACTATCCTTTACAAAAAGGAGGTTGCCTTTACAAAACTAGGAACTATCCTTTACAAAAGAGGCCGCCTTTACGATACCAGGAACTATCCTTTACAAAAAAAAAGAGACTGCCTTTACAAAACTAGGAAGTATCCATTACAAACAGATACTGACTTTTAAAAAAGCAGGAATTATCCTTTACTAGAAGAGGTTGCTTTGCAAAATCAGGAACTATCCTTTATACCTAATGTACCTACCTAGCCTTTAGTGTAAACTTCAATTAAGTGGAGGTGTCTTGTTTGGTCCAACACCCGTACTTAACTGAATTTGACCATCAATGAGGTATATTGTCTAGCATATGAAATTAACTCTTTTGGAACATCAATGTTTGTTGGCAGTAATCCAAGCTTATCCATTTTTCTTTTTCGAGCATGAGGGTTCTTGAAAGTATTACCACCCTTGACTCTTAACACTTCTATCACAATGTACTGAAGGTGCAACCAAGTATAGTTTAAATGCCTTGGTTCAAAAGCATAGTATGCATCTCTGACCGCATTAACTAGTTCATTTACATCCCTAGTGAATGATCTGTATTGGATAGACTGGATAGCTCTAAAAAAACCAAGATCAAGAATACTTAAATTCAGGCTTTGGGCTAGTTGGCAAGTCAGTCTAATGTTGAACCCAAAAGATGTAGCATCCTTAGTAAATTGTTCATCATGAACATTTATGTGAGGTCTTGCATTGTCATGTTGAATCCAAATATCTTTGCATCAATTTTTCTCTCATTGCTGGCAGGACTAAATAGTTCAGTTTTGATCTAATGATGTCCTTTGTCACACTTTGTATTGCCTTTGTTTCCGGAGTGTCAACAACTCTATTTGTTGAATTTCTTTGTGCATAAACCACTCCAGTGAATGGAAAAATGCCATTTTTTCCATCACATATTAGTTCACCTTGAGCTAAAACATGTGGTCTGGCCATAGCAGCCAAAAACATGACGTTGCCTAATTTTTTTTGTTTTGACAACTTCTATGTGCATCATCCTCCCAAGGAAATAGGTAAAACCTTTGTGTTTGTTGTGACATGTAGAACCATTTCTCGTCCATGTGAACAACATTATACATTTCACTGAATTTAGGAAGTGTGTGCACTTGTCTTGGCATAATCTGAGCCAAGATGTATTCTAGCCTCTTTAGCATGTGTGAATGACTTAGCTTAGGCTTGATACTAATTGTATGAGATCTTATTTGGCCTGTTTTCGGCAATCTATATACTGCTGAGTGACTAATCTCAAGAGCAATTGACAAAGATCGTATTGTTGTCCTTTTTCGAAGGGGTATAGCTTCAAATCTAGATAAATCAAATACCTTTGGCTTCCTTCCAACCTTGCCCTTTTTCTTACTTTTTACATCAACCAATGCTCGAGTACCCAATTGTAGTTTTGCTGTAGACCAAAGTCTCTAGATTGTGGTTTTGTGCACTTTGAACTCTGCTACCATCTATTAAATTGCTCCTCTGGGTAAGTTTTGACCATCAACCAGTAACAAAGTTTATCAATTAGGTGTTCTCTTTGACCATTTTTTAGATTTTGTTTCTTTTTGTTTTCTGATGTAGAACTGTTGGAACCATAATTTATTCCAAATTCTTCTTCTTCACTTTCAGTTTCAGAGTAGAAGGATGAAAAGATTTCAGTGTCTCTGTCAAAATCATTATCACCAAATGCTCCTTCGGCTTCTAGTTGAAGAAGCTCTACTATGGAAATTTCCTCCTCCATTACGGATGTGCAGCACTGGTTTTGTTTTTTGTGAAGATTGCTAGACTTAATTTTTCGTTTTATGGCTGAACATGGTGGGAAACTTATGATGGTGGCTGTATATGTACGCTGAAACGTAGGTGGAGGGAAAGTGTTTTTTTAGGACTTTTCATGATCCCTTCGCAAGTGGACTGTAAAATTTAGGAGTACATGTATTAGTACATGTATTGTTGCTAATTTTATTTGTATGTGGATGTAATGAAAAGTCATGTACGCTTGCTAACTTTATTATTATGTGGATGCAAGGAAAAGCTCGATGGATGTGCACCATAGCACTTTATGTGTTTTGTTGGTTTATACATATATCACAAGGTAAAATAGGAAAGTATATTACTCTTTCTTTATTTTTTAATCTTTGTGCCCATCACCATGTTGCATTCCTTTTCGAATAGAGGAAGTAAGAGACAATCTTAGTGGGACGGACTGAATCGTAAGATGGGATTATCTCAGCGGGACGAAGGGAGTACTAAGTATTGAATATTACAAATACACACGACGCTTTTTGGAAAACACTCCATACTTCTCTTGTGATGTATAGCTCATGCTAAAAGGGTGATATAAAGATCGTGCTGAAAGACAACACAACTCGTCGTAAAGGGAACACATAGGGAATGTGCAATTGACATCTCATGTTGAAAATAGGATGCATGTAATACACATTTCCTGCTTCAATGTAAAGAGTATGAAGTCTTCCCATTAACACTACCAAAGAAGCTCATGTCTTTCTCTTCCTCAAACTCGAGGTTTTCTCTTCAAGTTTTCAACCCAAATCATTTTTCTTCTAGCTTTCTCCTTTTCAAGCTTCTAATATGTATACAATGAGTAACATCACAATATACATGTATAAGCAAATAAACACACCCAAGTACTATACATGTGAAAAATGAATAAATGTCTACATATTTCACACACACATGCTAATAACTTGAGGCATATATTAAGTGTGGATGAGTATGTGTGTAGACACACAAATTAATGCGGCTGTGTATGCGTTTATAATGTATGTAGACAAACACTTGAACACTAAAGATGAACTCACACATATATACAAGTAGATTCACACCATACAAAAAATAAACAAATATTCATAAGTATAAACAAGTCAGTTTATAAATCCTAGCAAGTTTTAAGTGGAGCAAAATTACTTTTGAGACTTACTAGACTAGATACATTTGTAGAAAAAAGGATATCACTTTGATTTTTGTAAACAAATAATAAATGCCTTTTGGTTTCATGTTTTTATGTGACGGGAGATTTATAATCGTTAAAGACAGTACACATGAAATTATGAAAACATCATCAATACCATATTAATATGTTAAAAACACATACAAGCATACAATTAGAGAGGGCAATTCATATCAAGCCGACCTGACAGAACTCGCCGTTCGGCCAAGGCTATTTGGAGCCCTTCTCGGTAGAAATTTTTGAGCATTTTCTTCATCAAGTCTAATTCATGTGTATAGAATTTTAGCTAAAAATTCAAATGTGAAATTGAAAAACACTGCATTGTTTATATATATAACACAATATTTTTAAATAATTTATTTAACTGTCATTTTGATTCATTTTTAAATTAAAATTTGTACGTATAAACTAGATTTTGACAAAGAACATACTTGTGTTTAAAAAAGTGAACTGCACCTGACCAAAACAGAAAATTAGAACACATTATTTTTAAAAAAATGATGTTTGTACCCACTCTTATACTCACTTTTGTACTATCAATGTTTGTGAATGTTTTTTGGTTTGAAAACATCAACTCAAGATAATATTTTACATAAACAAAATATTCACATTCATGGTTGGCCCATAGCTTTTCTACGGAAACACTGACACCTCTGCAAAAGTACCTGACCAAAACAGAAAATTAAGGTCAGATTAAAAAGATCCTTATACTCACAAGGAAAGCTAAGAATATAAATTACTGTATAGGCTGAAAGAAGATGAAGCAGGGCATTCTTCTTCTCCTCCCATGGAGTGTTTGCCCTTCCTTTAACCGTCCTTTCTTCTCTAATTCCCGTAACCAGAAGTATATTCCGTTCATTGTCTCCGGTGCATTAGAGTCGGCCAATCAGGAGGGGCTTCTGACGGCGAGGGAGAGAAGACAGCTGAGAAACGAGAGGAGAAAAAGCAAGGCGGATTACAATTGGAGGGAAGAGGTGGAAGTGAGGCTTTCGAAAAAGCCGAAGAAACAATACCAATCCTGGACCGATGAGCCCATTCTGGACAACCTTGCGAAAATGGGTCCTCAATGGTGGGTCGTCCAGGCCTCCAGGGCTAAAAGCCAGTACACTGTCGAGCGTCTTGCTCGATCATTTTCCCTCAAATTCCCCGATCTCGATTTCCAGGTAGTCGTTTGTTTCTGCTTTTTAACGAAAATTTTGAATTAGAGGGTTTCTTCCACTGCTGGTTCTGTGAGTCTGTGACCATTACAAGGTTTAGTTTCTACATGAGTACATCCTCAGGGACAGGGAAGTTCCATTCGATCTAAATTTGAATATGAAAATTTTGTTTATGTGCTTCAATAGATAGTTTCTAAATATGTAAACTCTAAATATTAATACTAATTTAAATATTATTTTGAAGGAATTGCCTTTATTAGCATTCAACCATCATAAACACTCCCGGATGTAATTCTTCATCTAGCTGTTTTTGTAATTTTCTTCAACATGCTATCATTTCACAACTAAAGAATGTTCATTACATCATGGCTTCCGCTCACTTTTCATATAAAAGATGTTCATTTGCATTTGAAAAGGCTCATTTTGCAATAAAGAAATTTTCATTGGATGTTTCATGCATATATTACATTCAGGTGTGTAATATAAATATTCAAACTGACAAAGTTAAGTGGACTTTTGAATAAGACTTATAATGCACATGTTTGGCTTAGTTTAGTTTGGTATGGTTTGGTTTGGTTTACAAGTGCGGTTATATATGTTTATTTAGTAGAAACTAGAAACTTGTTGAAGTAAAGGGCCGTTTCAGACACAATAAAGCGCAGGTAAAAGAAAATAAGGTGGAACATGTAGGAGAAAGTTGGAAGAAAAGAAAATATTGAGGGAACATTGTGTCAAACTCCAGAATTTAGTTTCATTAATCGTTCAAATTGATTTTATTTATATATTTATATAATATTAATACAAAGAAATCTGAACATATTGAATTTGTTTTAATTTCAAAGAAATTAAAACATATTGATTTTGTTTTAATTTGAACAAAATTAGTAAAGAAATCTGAACATATTGAATTTGTTATAATATTAATTTTTGTTTCAAAGAAATTAAAACATATTGATTTTGTTTTAATTAAAACATATTTCAAAGAAATATAATATTAATACCAAGGAATCTGAACAATGGTGGAACATGTAAATATTTCAAACATATTGATTTTGTTTTAATTTCCTTTAATTCCTAAAGTAGTTCTGAAGTCTGAAGTCTAAACATAAGAACATAACCTTCCAGCATTTCTTTGCTTTCTGTAGTACTTCCAAGATCCAGATAGAGCATATGAGATGATTTACTATTTTATCTTTAACTTTTGAAAATTTTCATAGTATGAGCATTGAAGCTCGCATGCTATTATTTTGTCAAACACTAGTAAGCAATAAGCATTGTTACTTCTAGTCAAATCCCAACTGTATTCCATGTAAAATGTTTGTCACTGAAAGTTACTTTGCTATGAAAAATACTGTATTGAATTGCAGCGTCCAAATTAGCGTATCAAAGCAGTTGAATTTGATGCCAATGATTTTATTTCTTCTCCAAACTAATTGTCCGAGTTTGAGTGCCCGTTTGACAAGGCCTAAGATGGCTGAAGGGTTGATTTACCCAACTATCTAAAAACTATTTAAAAATGTATATTTAATTAATGCAACGCTGGTAATATATAAAAAACAAAGCTAAAAGTATCACACTTTCAACAATATCAGCAAAAGGTACAAGTATGCAACTTCTGCACTACTTAATTATCAGTAGATTTTTCTAGTGCACCAATAATTTGCCAGGGTTTAGTGAAACATTGACCATTTTGCTCATAAGCCCAAACTTGAGCCGCCTACAAAATGGGCTCTAATTAGGGCTGAGCATTTGGATTTTGGACTTTCAGTTTGTTTTTTAGTTTTCGGTTGGAAATAGTTTTGGTTCGGTTTGTATTTGTTATTTCATTAAAATGTATTAAAGTTTAGTTTATCTCATCATTTTTATCTTTATCTTTTACGAAGTAAATATCTTTATCTTATCCATTTTATCGTACTTTATCTTTTTTATCTTTCTTACCTTTATTTTCCTTTTGGCCTTGATATCATGTAACGATTCATGTTAGCCGACCTCAAAATCTTTTGGGACTAAAGCTTGGATGTTGTTGTTGTATTAAAGTTTGGTTTGGTTTGATTTTGTTTCGGTTTGGCCAAAGTGCCAAACTGGACCAATACACCCACGAACCAAAAGATTGACCTAAGAGATCTAAGAGATTGTTATGGTATAAGAGATTATTGTAATATTGTCTTGAGACAGAGTAAATTATGACCTCAGGTTTATATTCCATCTGTGCAAATCAAAAGGAAATTGAAGAGTGGGAAATTCTCTGTTAAACCAAAACCTCTATTCCCCGGCAATGCTTTCATAAGGTGTATGATGAACAGGGAAATACACAACTTCATTAGAGAATATGAAGGCATTGGAGGCTTCATTGGATCCAAGGTCGGAAACACGTAAGGATTCACTCCTTAGTTGTTGTTGGTTCAGTTAAATCAGTTCAAATTGTGATCCTTCTTTGAAAAATAATCTGTAGAAAGCAATATATGACCAAGCCTAGGCCTGTAAAAGAGGAAGATATGAAGGCAATATTCAGAGCAGAGAAGGAAGAGCAAGAGAAAGCTGATAAAGCCTTTCAAGAAGCAGAGCAGCAAATAGAAGAAGCAAAGAAAGAGAAAGAGAATAAACCTCTTCGAGCTGACCATAAGATTTTAGTCCCGGGCTCAACCATTCAACTAGTTTCTGGAAGCTTCTCTGGGGTTTCAGGCATTCTTAAGAAGCTTGACAAAAATGCCCAGCTGGTATGTTTTTCTTTTTCAGTGCTCCTCCTTCTCATGTAACTCGTTGTAAGGATAGAAATACAGACACCCTAGATAAAAAAATTTGAACATAAATTATTTTACATGATTTACTGAAGATTGATATTGTCTATTCTTGGAAATTGGAAGATGGTAGAGAAAGAAAAAGAGGTAAAAGTAGAAGGAATTTTGAAGGAATGGAAATGTGGTGTGAACACAAACATTTGCTCAAACTCAATAAACATTTGTTAAACTGATTGTTTTAAATACTTTTATTATATAAAGCCTAATGAAATGTAAGCATATGTAAAAAAAGTCATTTCATATACCTTTGCGGCACTGGGGTAAATGAAAATGAAAATGATATACCTTTGTGTTTTGCATGGTAAAACCAACAAAAGAGAATCACTTTCAGTTTCATTTATAAATACCTCTCCTGAGTCCCGAGCATTTCCTGGGATCCAAACGCAAAGAATATTGATAAACACGTGTTTTTGAGGGAAATAAAGGCTGTTTCATGAAGTTTTAGAATGTGAAAAACTGTTGTTGCAGGCAACTGTTGGATTGACACTGTTTGGCAAGGAAACTTTAGTGGACGTAGATGTTAAAGATATTGCTTCTGAGGAGGTTTGACTACATATTCAAAGACCGTCCACTGATAAGCTTCATTTTTTCTGGAGGTGAGCACTTTTATTTGGATTCTGAGACCCTTACTAGGAACCATATAAACATATGGATATCACCGAAACATAACCAATTGCTTTACTGGCTGTTCATTTTGTGGTTTCTGGAATAGAAAAACTTGAACCTTATCTTCATGGGCTCTAATACCATTTATCGAAGAGACAAAGACGGTACCCTAGGAGTTGAGTTATATAGCAAACTACATTCCCAGACGTGGAAAGGAATCAAATCAATTTATTAAGCACACCTGTTTTCCAACATTCATTGCAGGAAGGAGTGGATCACTTTAAAGCAAGGAAACAGTCCATCAGCTCTAGCATCGGAGGGAAGTGTAATCCTTCCTCATCGAAAATTCGAAATAGGTTAAAGTGTATATTGCTAATCTAGAGTTTAATGCCTAAAAGGTCTATTGATATTGAATGTATCATATTTTTAATTATTAGATTAGTCATGTACACTGTAGAATTACGTGTATATCTTTATAAGTAAGGTTGATCAAATCACAATTTCATAAGCTTCGTCAAATTATTCTACTAAAATTTCCCAACTCTGGCATGGTATTTGTAGGTCTAAAATAAGACGTGTGTAGACAGACATCTGAGGATTTACATAGAACCTTGTCTGGGAAAGGCTAGCAAAAAAATAAGTGGGGAGTAAAGTTGTTGTAATAGCCCCAAATGGGTTGTATAGTTACAACAAAGGATGACACCCCATCCTCGAGGGAAGTGTATTTACAAAGGCACTCTCTTACTATCAAGTGAGTTACACCCCCTGACGGTTGTGTATTTACAAAGGATATAAATAGAATAAATCTGCAGAGGGAAGGCAGGCTCTTGTTAGATCATTTGACTGGGACTGGGAAGTTGGAGTTCTATCTCCTTCTTTGGGACAATTCTTGTACGGTTTACCTCCATTGAATGAAATCACAGTTTTCTTCTTTTATGCCTGGTTAATTTCTGTTAATTGTACTGAAAGTGAAATAGAATAAATCTGCAGAGGGAAGGCAGGCTCTTGTTAGATCATTTGACTGGGACTGGGAAGTTGGAGTTCTATCTCCTTCTTTGGGACAATTCTTGTACGGTTTACCTCCATTGAATGAAATCACAGTTTTCTTCTTTTATGCCTGGTTAATTTCTGTTAATTGTACTGAAAGTGTGAAGTTCCTATCAGGTGGTTAAAAGTAGGTGACAGAAGATGAAATAGTAGAAAAGAAGAATTAAGAACTGGAAGACAAAAAACTAAGAATGTTTATGCATTTTGATATGGTAAAACTTATCAGATTAGGTGTTAGGAACCCTAGCAATTACAGAAGTTCACTAACAAACAGAAGAATGGTAACTAAGAAAACTGAAAGCTTCATTAATGGAGAATCCGAGTACACAGTCCCAAAGAAGGAGATAAACTCCAACTTCCCAGTCCCAGACCAAATGAGTCTAAACAGCCTGCCTCACTACTCCCCCTTCCCATCTATTTATACTACAATACATCAAGTGCCCTTATTACTAATATTCTTATTAGTACTTCTATTATTAGTCTTATATAAGTGGGTTCCTAACAATACTCCCTCCCTAAACATCCACCTTGTCCTCAAGGTGGGTAATAGGAGAAAGCCAAAATCTTTTGCTTCCTCTTCCTCTTCCTTGTTCCTCTCCCTTCCCAATATCGAACTGATTGTGGGACCATGAACCTTTCCAAAGATGTCTGGTAGCTTACAAACCCCACCACCACTCTGGATCCTGATGCCATGTACTGCCGGATGTATACTGGTGTATTGACAAGCAAGGAAGGAACTGCACATTGATAACCTGATACTGAGGTATAGCTATAACTATTTTCCCCATCAAGTAGGGTTCCACTTCTATATTTCCAGCATCTACATTTAGCTTGGTTTCCCTTACAAGAGCACAAGTGGAACAGTTCAGTTCTGGTTCTTTGGAGCCTAAGATCATATTGTAAGGTTGAAAATTTGCTTCAGCTTCCAATCCCATGAACATACTCTGAGTATTAAGATCCAGGACCACACTGATTTTATCCAACTGATATTCAAAAGTAAATTCATCAGCCCCTTTCAATCTATAATTACAGGAGTCCCAATTTGCATAAAGTGTCAAACTGCAGTCCTTAACTCCCATCCCAAATTCGACATTGGAGTGACTGAAGACTGATCCTTCAAATGCACAAATCTGTGGATCATTCTTTCCCAACTGCCCTGCTAAGATACTCTGGACTTTTACCCCCTTTTTATCCCCAATAACTTGATCCTGGCTGTCAGAATCAGCAACATACTTCTCCATCCATCTCCTAAAAACAATAATGCTCAACACATCGTCCTCTTCTAACCCCTTTTTATTACCCATCATAGAAGCAATATCCTCACATCTGAAACTATCAAACTTGTTCAATGATTTCAGCCCTTCCAAGGAAATGTTTAATGAATGACAGTATATCATTTCAGATTTTAAAACATTCAGCCAGTTCATCTCCTTAACGCAACTAGACTTGTCAGCATCATGAATCGGTTTGCGGTTTCCAAAAATGTTAGCAGATTCTCCCGAAACAAGCCCAAACTCCTCCTCCTGAGCCTCTGTACCAGATCTATTTTTACCAATGCATAATTTTTCTAAAAATCTTTCCTTTACTTGTAAGGAAAGTTGACTTTTGACAAGAACAGTTTCAGAAGCAATTAGAGCTCTATTTCCAAAAGAACATGGTTGAATAAGCTTGTCAGCAATCGAAACTTGGTTGGAAATTAAATCCACATCCTCTGCAAGATGAGAATAAACATAATCTGGCCCTTGAATAAACTGTCGTTTCTCCTTGATTTCGTCTTTCTTATTCACTTGCTTGATTACAGGTTCAGTCGGTTCCATCTGAACCTTCTTTGTTGACTGGAAAATTTCTAGCCCTGATTGAGAAGCTTGTGAATGAGAAGTTCTTGGCGACCTCAATGACTCCTGTTTTGATGATTCCTGCGAAGTGAATGAAAAAGTTCTCGATTGCGAACTGGAAGTTCTTCGTGACTTGGATGACTCCTGTTTTGCCGTCTTCCCTGTCTTCTGCCGGTGTCTAGGTGGAAAATCCCTAATCAAATCTTCTTTTAGTGCCTCCCAACTGTCTTCTCTCTTTTGAAAATCCCACCATTGAAACCAGCCATCTGCTTCTTCCCCCATAGCCTTTGCTGCTAAGTCAACCTTAAATTTTTCTGCAATAGCTTGGACTCGGAAATATCTTTCCATCTTCTCTATCCATTCGTACGCTTCATCCTCGTAGAATAGAGGTAATTCCTCCGTCTTTGATTTAGTTGAATTCCGAGAAGCGACTTTAGACGAAGAAAGCGAACAGTGAAAATCCTCAGGCGAAGAAGAAGATTCTCCTCTCAATCGCGTCTTTCTTGGACGCGAATAGATGGCCGGTGAGGAAGTCTGCGAATTGTGAGGAGTTCGCGATTGCGAACTTAAAGAAGAGGTTCGCAATTTTGTCTGCGACTCCGTCTGCGGTAGCGGATGAAGCCAACTACTCCTCGATCGCTCTCCCTGTCCCTTGCGAAGCCTTTGCCCTTGCTGCGAAACAAAATACTTGGAACTATCTTCTGATCCATCTGCTCTAACGGAACTTCTCACGTGTGCATGATGCGAAGAACGATGTGACGCATGTGAAGGTTGCGAACTATTTCGCGAACAACTTTGGCCTTGCTCTGCCAGTTTCGCGATCGTAGCCTGCATCGTCTGAAGCATCGCCGTCATCTCTTGTTGATTTCTCTCCATTGTTTCCGTAAATCTCCTTTGGTTTTCCTCCAGCTCGTTCATCCATAAATCCATCTTCGTACGCGTCAAGACCATCCACCGTGATCGACGTGCTCTGATACCAATGTTAGGAACCCTAGCAATTACAGAAGTTCACTAACAAACAGAAGAATGGTAACTAAGAAAACTGAAAGCTTCATTAATGGAGAATCCGAGTACACAGTCCCAAAGAAGGAGATAAACTCCAACTTCCCAGTCCCAGACCAAATGAGTCTAAACAGCCTGCCTCACTACTCTCCCTTCCCATCTATTTATACTACAATACATCAAGTGCCCTTATTACTAATATTCTTATTAGTACTTCTATTATTAGTCTTATATAAGTGGGTTCCTAACATTAGGAAACTCGGGTTTCTTTAAAAAGAACAAGAAAATTGAGGTAAATACTTAAAAACTTGCTAAAAGAAATATAGAGCATATATGAAAAACAGAAATAGTATTGCACAAGTAATCAAATATAGCCGTGAGATAGAGATTCCACTCCAAATGCATAAGTTTTACATCATACCAGCTTAATGCTTTGAAGAAGTACTGGTGGTTGAAAGTTTGCAATTTGTCAAAACAACATTATTGATCCGTCTTAAAACTCTTGTTTTCCAAACTTTAACACACGACTAGATTGATGTCATCCTTATAATGCGAGTAAAACTTAAGCTATACTGTGAAAAAATGATTCTGTTCTTAACTTCTGATATAGAGCACGTGATGTGATTGGTACTGATCTACGTATTAAATAACAAGTAATTTCATCTTTAAAAAAACAAGTAATTTGATCAAAAGTTGAGGTAGTATAGAACTCTTTCACTGGGCCTTGTGCCTTAGGTTACTTTAATGTTGTGGCTCTAAATCCACAACACTTTATATTGCCAAACCAACTTTAAGAAAATTTTGTTCTAGCTAAAAAACAATAGCAATACCAATCTAAGCCAAGAATCTGCCTAAGCAAATTTCATTGCAAAAAATGCAACTGTGCGTAAATGTTTAGACAAAAGCGGTTGTAGAGCACAAAAACTTAGCTACACTGAGGAATATACAAAAGAAGACATGAATTGAAACAACAAAGCCTTGGTATATATGTGCATCTTGTCATCTTGATCCATCAGTCATCAGCTAAGGAACCAAATTAATGACAGGAAAAATTGCATTGATATTCTTTCCTTCCCTTTTTACCCCTGGGGTACCAGCAAGTATCTAAACCACTACTTATATAAGTATATGAGCAAACTTTGTACTATAATGGTGTCTGTGTGATTTACAACCTATGACTAAACATCACATGAAACATAACCCCTATCTTTGTGAAACAACTTCTAGGCTCTGATTTTCATCAGATGTATTGCATATACAACCAGGAAAAGGATTTGCATAGAAGTTTTCTTCTAATCTTGGTGATTCTCCTGCTTCTCTAAGGTAAGGCGCTCCAAGCCTGTTGGAATGTAAGGCCTTAACCTCACTAGAAAACTCACTCCAAGAAATTTCTCCCTTATCCAATAAATCTATCATATTTACGAAGTTTAATCTGCAACAAAAAAGGCAAATGTTTAATAATAAGATAAGGGTTCATTAAATCTACTCCCCCCGAGATTAGATTAAATTACCATATACCCTTCAGGATTAGGAAAATTACAAGCATGCAGTGTATCAATGATGTTAACAGGTATTGTGTGCCTCCATATTTAATGTGTTGTTTCTAAATGCACAAGGTGTTCACTTATAATCGTATGTAATTGCATTCTTTGATCTGACTTCAGGAGGTAGATGTAATTGATCCCAAAGAATAAATATAAGCTTGGGTTAAGAGGTCAGACCTGTCTGGGCTAATTGTCTTTCGAAAACCTTTGAACCGCCTGTGCCCTTGTACTGCCTTTGCCATGTTCCCATCATATGTATAAACAAACATGTCACTTTCAAGGGCAATAATGTAATCCAAGGCAGCAAGGCGGTTTTGATATGGCTTTAAAGGTTCCAATTCTTGGTCCATTGCAAGTGTTGAGTGTGTAAACACATTGGGGTATTCTGAGCGGAATGCATCCATGCTGTTGTTCCCATGTATTTCTCCTGCAACAATGTATATTTTTGAATTCGAGGGGTAACCCAATGCCTTAAGAAACAATGCAGCCTCCCTCGGGGACATAGGGCATCCTCCCATCAGTCTCTTCTTTTCGCTGTCTATCTCTTTCTCTTTCCAGTGCTGCACGTTGTACCTCATAATGCGAAGCTCCTCGGCCTCCGCTTCACTCAGATTGTGGCTGCATCCCGTAAAGGCAAGCATATCCTTCTCATACCTAAAACCCAACCAAATTAGCTAA